TGGGTGGGAAATGGAGAGACAGAGGGCAGGAAAGTCAGGGTGGGTTCTCAGTGTCCTACCAGCCTGTGTCTTGTTTGTCCCTGACAGAAGTCTGATGAGCTAGAAGAATCGGGGAATGGAGATAGAGGAATCTAGATTAGTTTAGGGTTTCAATACTGAGGAGACACTGGGAACTTCAGCCAGAAACAGTTATCAGAGGAGACAGTAGCCAACTGGAAGAGAATATCAATTCATTAATACAGCAGGGTGTCACGACACTTGAACATCTAGCAGGTAGAGTGGAGCACTTGCCTGCAATGGAAAAGAAATGCCTGGCTGGAGGGACAAACACAGAAGGCACCGTGACAATAACAGCCAAGTCCAATATCATGGATGAAAGTCCTGAGAGACTCCAGGAGAGCCCCTTAGGAAATGGTCAGAAACCGAGGGAAATCAACAGGGAGTAAGAGTCTGGGCTTGGAGGAGGGAAATAATGTGTGCTCGTAAGAAACAAGAAAAGGGTTTTAAGAGTGTCAGAAACAGCCGTGCGATGGTGGCGCACACCTTTAATCCCAGCACTCGGGAGGCAGAGGCAGGCGAATCTGTGAGTTCCAGGCCAGCCTGGTCTACAGAGCTAGTTCTAGGACAGGCTCCAAAGCTACAGAGAAATCCTGTCTCAAAAAAAAAAAAAAAATGTCAGGAACAGGACCTTTGGCAGCACAGGGAGAAGCCAGAGCACATCCCTGCGAGCTTTATGGAGCCCAGGGTAACAGAGAGCTGGAGACTGTTTGAGCAGCCCTGTATCTCAGGCTAAGTGATGTAGTAAAGCCTGAGTCTATGATCATGGGACAGTCCATGCTGAGCTTTTTTATCCCGCCTAGAAGAAAATCTGGTCACTCTGGCCCTAAAGGCACAGTCCACAAAGTTATAAAACTACATGGAACTGTGCCTCTCTTTCCCTATGCTTTATCTAGCCCCTTGCCTGCCTGTCTTCAGACCATCGCAGCCAGATTGGAATCTGTCTCCCTTTTTAACAGTTTCAGAGACAATTTCTCAACTCTTGGTAGTCTGTTCTTCAGTTTCTGGAAATTCCTGCCAAGGTTCACAAGAAGATAGGCCTTTGTAACCCGTAATTTCTAAAAGGCATGCTTGACAATGAGCAATGACTCAATCAATAGGAAAAGTAAAGTCAGAGATCCCCCCCTTGGGAAAAGTCAAGAGCACAGGGTCACTGCAGCTGAGGAACCCAAGCTGGAATCCCTTGGAGCATGCTGGAGGGCCCCAGCTAGGGAACTGAGGACCTCTGTCCTACCCGAAACATCACAAGCTTGGGCTACAAAGGAGCATTTGTGTGCCGCACCCAGAGAATGAGCTCCAATGAAGTTATGCATAAGGAGTGATTGTTGTCAAAGTCTTGTCACTGGAGTTTTTCCAAGTTTGGGTACCCAGAATTGATAATCTTTCCGACAACGTACAGTGCTCAAAGATAAAGAGCATCAATTAGCATCAGGCGATCATACTGAAAACCTAGTGGGATGAGAAAGAATCAGGACCCAAAGGCATCTTTACTGTAGGTAATAGAGCTTGCAGAGGTTGTCGGGAAGGGATAGGAAATAAGGTTTCATCGTATTTCCAAGAACAGATTTAGTTTGTAAATGCTGACTGAATACCAGACACTGAACTGGGTGACAGAGTCTGAGGGCACGTTCTCCTGAAGAGGAGACTGCCTGCTTCAAAAGATAGCGTGAGCAAACACCGTGAACCGCATGAAGGCCACCAGCAAAGGCAGGTGTGTGGTGCTGCCGGAGGCAAGGGAGACTCATGTGCAAACATGGAAAGAGAAACCCAAGAGGGCCTGGGTGTAGTGCAGAAGCAGGGCACTTGCCTAGAATTCAGCGGTCCTAGGGTAGATCCCCAACAGCAGAAAGGGGAGAGGGAAACATGGCAGAGCCTCACAGAGAAGCCGTTGAACCTGTGAGTGCTTCGTCTGCGCTCCTGGTACAGGTGCGCTGCCACTTAACGACCAGCAGCTGGGAGAGGGGAACAGTCCCCACTGGATGTCCTGAAAGGTCCATGTCGTGAAGTAATTTGCTGAGACATAAATTCGAATGGGCTTCCAGGAGGCTAAGGAGTCCCTGCCGGGCACCTATGCAGTGTGTGGACCTCACTGAACACCTGGCATTTGTGTCCCCATACAGTTCATTTATGCTCTTCTTTGACATTTGCACAGGAAGTTGCACACTGACTCTTTTTTTTTTCTTGCAGACTCAGTTAATGATGCGGTTGATAAGGTAACAATACAATGTAATGAAATAAGTTTATTTGAAATTGCAATTTTTATTTAAGTACCTTTAGAAAATATCATAATCCCATATTTATAGAACCATTAAGAGTCTGAAAAAACTCCTTACATTTTATGACTACAGCTTACTGTATTTATGGTTGAAAGTGTATGTCATGATGACATTCATGATTCTGGAAACGCACCAAGGTCACGGGTGAGTGCTTCCAGGGAGTCCCAGAACAAAGTCTGCAGATAATAGATTTTATTGGCACTCTACTAGACACAATAAAGTCTCAGGTTGGGTTTTGAAAATAAAAAGATTCCCCCTTACACAGTTTTTCTACAAGTTGAAGACAGCTAACATGCCCTTCCCATCTATGGCATCTTGGCTTGTGCTGCCAGAAGACAATGGAGACATTTATCCGCACAACCACAGACCGACAAATTATCCAAATGAGAAAGATAACCTGATTCTCCAGCTGCATGTTTTCCTCTGAGTCTATTCCTAGAAGGGAATAACCACGAAAACACCAACTCTGGCTCCCTCCCCCAAACAAGCTCTGGAGCACCTCCAACCTAACATGATTTGACTCACACCCCCCCCCAATACTCCTACCTTTGTCTTCTGATCACGTGCTTGATTGCCAAAGCTGGAAAACCCAATAGGTGGCCCAGACCTCTCTCTAACACTAATCAATCACTGAGTAATCAAATTTTCCTCCTAATGACTCTCAGATGCAGCCAGGCCTCTGCAGCCCCATAGCTCTCCCCTAACTCCAGGCCAAATCATCTGGCATCACAGATCCTGAAATCTTGCCTGGATCTAGTCTCCACAGTGATACAGAGTCGTCATCCCCGCCCCGCCCTGCCCAAAACTGTGAACTTGCTCTCATCGGCTCCTTCTAAAGATCAATAACCGGCTTGGGGACAGAGATGTGACGCCCACCGCCCACACGTAACACTGAGAAATACATGGACTACCAGCTGCTCCTCCCCAACTGCGCCCAGGTTCTCTCACATCTCTATGCATTTGCTCTTGACACTCTCTTCTCTGTCTCCCCTCACACTGAGCTCTTCTTGGCCAGCCTCCATCAGTCCTTCAGGAGCAAATTCAATTGTCATTTTTGAGTAGAGCTGTCTACAAATCTCAGTGGCTCTCCTGTCTGCCCCCCCCCCCCCGTGGCACTGGGTATATATTCTTATTACAGCAGCCTCACAGACGACTTTAACTTGTTAGCAGATTTACCATCTCGAGTAAACCAGGGGTTTCCTTCAGCTCCGAGTCTCTAGTACCTAGCACAATACTTGGCTACCGCCAAGCCACCAGGAAGTGTTTGCTGAATAAAAGGACCAGTGATTGAGGTCTTCGGCGACATCAGAAAATGGACCATGTCATCAAAGAAGAAAACAAAGCGACCCAAAGTGTCAGAAAAGCTAAGACAAGGATGAAGGCTGCTTTCAGATCTCGGGCAACTTTTACATTACTCATCATATCCTGCCCTAACCAAGGGCTAACCCCAGCAGGCTCCGGGGGTTTGTTAGAGGAGTTCACTTGAGTACCAGATCCAGGAATGTGCAATGATCATGAAAGAGAAGGAAAAAAGCGGAAAGAAGCTGCTGGTTCTAAACGATGTGAGAAGATGCACAGTAAAATAAATAGATAAATAAATAAATATTCTTCCTCTTTGATGCCTGAGATCACAGTGACCATGTGTTGTTCACTATGCAACTTCCAAAGAAGCAAAGACAAGAAAGGATCCCTGAGACTCCCAGATTTCTGTGTCCTGAATGGTTTACTATTCTTTAATCCTCCCGGTTCCATACTGTCCGGAACTTCCCCTTGTATGTAACAGGCCTTAGGTAACATTAGGAAGGCAGCTAAACATTCTGATCTAGCTAAATGATCGTGCTAAGCACAACCTGTCTTGGGATGCGAGACATTGAAAAGACAATGTTTCCCAAGGAGCTTCAATCCCCGGTGTGTGTTGTTCTGATGAAAGAGTATGTTAGGGGGTGTGGAGAGGTTGGATGAAAGCAGGCCACGAGGAAGCTGAGCTTGCGCTTTGACTAACACTGGCATTTGGGTGACTTTGTCAGCCTCCAGCGGGATTTCTCAGGTACCCACTCTCAATACAATGGGGCGAAGAAAATCTTCTCCTAGACTCTAGTAACTAGAGGGAAAGGAGGGCCAGGGAAAGAGGTAAATCCATCTAGTACCGCTGCTGGAGCCCACACTTCAGCCTTTCTCCGGATAGGATACTGGAGGAGGTCACGCCCAACTATAGCAAACTGTATCACAAATAAATCTCAGATAAAGCTGATTCTCCAGCCCCTCAGCTGCCTCAAACGTTCTCTCCTCCAGGAGTCCCTAACCCGGCTGTGCTTCCCACAGGTTTCTGAACAGCGGCGCCGCGCCCTCTTTGCCCCACCCAACACATAGGGTCCCGTGTCTGCACCCCACTACCACTTGCGGGGCGCCACCTATCGGGGTCCCCGCCCCCCTCAGCCCCACGTGCTGGGCCCCGCCCGGGAGCTAGCGGCCCTTTAAACACCCCCACCCTTGCACACTACCCCCCCCCCCCAACCCGGACGGCAGCCGAAGAGGGACAAACTCATGGCGTACAGCCAGTCCCTTCCGCGGAGCGCGTCCCCCGCAGCCCTAGCCCGCCGAGCTCTTCACCCAGGGCTACGACGCCCTGGCGGCCCCCACGCCCCCGAAGCCGGGTGCAGGAGTGTGGGCGCTGTCCGACTCCCGGGAGGGGCGGAGGGAGCGCGGTCTCGGCCGCCGCCGCCTGCCTCCGCCTGCCTCCGCCTGCCGCTCGGGCCGCCCGCTCGCCCGCCGCTGGGTGCGCTGCACGCGGGGGGCAGCCGCGGTGCAGAGGTTCATGCAGCGGCGGCGGCGGCGGCTGCTGCTGCTGCTGCCGCCACGGAAACAGACCGGGCGCTGCCGCCGCCACCCTCTCGCAGCTCCATGCCGCCGCCGCCACCGCCGCCTCCTCTCCGGCGAAGGGCGGGGGGCTCCGGCCCGGGGTGGGCAGCACTCCTCGCAGCGCCGCTCCCCTCCCTGCCCTCCGCCGAGGCGCGGGTGCCGGCGAGAGCGCCCGCCGCCTCCTAGGAGCGCACGCTCCGCGCGCCCTTGCTAGAGCGAGGAGGCGGGCGTGGGCGGGCGTCGGGGCAGCCGCGACCCAGCGCGCGGAAGGGGAGGGGGCTTCCCCGGAGGATGCCCCGCGGCGGCGGCGGCTCCTCGCTCTTAGGCGCTAGCTGAGCTGGACCGGGAGCGAGCGGCGCGTCGCCATGCCGGCGTGACGGGCGCCCGCGGCTGCCCGCGCCGGGCCCCCGCGCTGCCCCACGCCGCGCCGCGCCGGCGCCGGGCGGCAGGATGGGCTGTATCCAAAGCATCACCTGCAAGGCGCGGATCCGGCGCGAGAACATCGTGGTGTACGATGTGTGCGCCACCATCGACCAGTGCCCCACGCGCATCGAGGAGACCTCGCCCATCGTCCTGCGCTACAAGACCCCTTACTTCAAAGCCTCGGCCCGCGTGGTCATGCCCCCCATCCCCCGCCACGAGACCTGGGTGGTGGGCTGGATCCAGGCGTGCAACCAGATGGAGTTCTTCAACACCTACAGCGACCTGGGCATGTAAGCGACCGGCCACGCCACGCGGCGCGGGGAGCGGGGTCCTGGCCCCTCTCTCTCCGCTCTCCATTCCGGCCCCCTCCCCAGCCCCTCTTATCGTTGTCCCCATCTCTCTCTGAACCTTCCTCTCGCCTCCCCACCCACCTCCCTCCTCCCTGCGCTTTTGTTTCAGTGACAGGGCGGGTGACGGGAGGCTCCTAGCGAAGGCATTTTCTTGTTCTTTGCTTCTGACTTCCTCAGAAAGGCGAGGAGGATAGTGAGGGGCAGGAAGAACGCAACTGGGAGGGTTCGAGAGGCAAAGATGGGGTGGTTGGCGAGTGTCATGGGAGTTTGGGGGACACAGTTTGTGCTTGTGTGTCTCCCCTGGAAGAGTTTGGGGAGAGGAATGGAGTGCCGGGGGCGCATGGTCTGTGTCGTGCGTCCTTTGGAGAAAACCTGGCGGGCTTGAAAGAGAAGGTACAGGGTGTCCGAGTGGAAGTAAGAGATTCTGCCATCGCCCCCCAGGCCAGGGAGCATGGCGGTATCTTGGTCTGGAACCTCCAGCCCGGCAGAGAGCCTCTCTGGCGACGCACCCCAAGGACCAATTCTGGGGCGGTGGGAAGCTGGAAGGTTCCCGGGCCAGGCGGAACTGGTGGCCTTGTGCTAGCAGCCGGTTGGTGCGGCACGAGATGTTTCTTAGGCTCAAGGAAAGGATGAGTCTTTTCAACTGTCTGGGGTCTTTACTTTTCAAAACTTTCCTAATTGCAGCGCTGGTAGGGATTCCCAGGCGCCCACCGCCGAATCCAGTCAGCTGGCTGGGAGCTCTCCAACTTCCTTCAGCAGCGCTGGTTGGTGCGCGCTGAGGGTTTGTCAGCTGCGGGTGCACCTAGATCGCCAGGGCTCTGCCGCCACCAGGGGCAGACATCCTGCCCTGGAACCGCAGGCTTTGGGAGGTCGCGTTCTAGACTTTTTTACTTACTAAATTTTCGTCTGCCCTCCAGTCCCTTTTCAGAACGAGACTCCGTGCACTTGGCGACCATAGGTGGCTAGGAGATTTGGGGCCTGCATTCTGCCTCCTATTACAGCGTGAGTCTAGAACACCCTAATTATCAGATTGTAGCCTTTAGGGAAACCCCTTTTCTGGAAATCCAACCTCATTTCACTTCTTAAGTCTAAAATTTCAAGATTTACCTATTTAAAATGGATATGGGATGGGGGAGTTCGCGTTTTAAAAGGTCAAATCATCTTTTTAGCAGCCGTCTTGGGGCTTTTTCTTGCACTCTCAGAGTATGTAAGTTAACACTAGTCATAGGTGCTAAGAGGAATTTTGACAGATCGTTTTGTTTCCTTTTCCTCCCAGAGTTTGCACTTTGCTCTTTAAGCATAAAAGCTCAGTGGAGAAAACTGGTTGGTGGTGAAGAAATGTGAACCCTGCTTTGCAGTATGCCTAAGCACACTGTGTTCTTGTCTCTCCGGAAGTGAGAGAAATGGGAGACATATTTTTTTTGGGTGAATCATTCCATCTAAAAAGACACAACCTGAAAAGAGTGGGTTTTTTTTCTTTACACGTGTGTGTTAGAAATGTTTGTTTTGCTTGGGCCTGTTTGAAACTCACTCTTTTCACCCAAGTAAGAGAAAACCTGGCTAGGGAAGAGGCCATCTATCTGATGCCCCTGGCCTCACCCTGATTGGGGGGGAGGGGGGCAGTAATCTTTCTGGAGACAGTCACAAAGCGTGAATCCCTTAGTAAAGGGAGCATGGAGGAACTGAGCAGGAACAGTCCCACATTTCCCATGACTACACAGGAGTGACCTCTGTGGCCTCAAGTCCCTTGCAAATCAGTAAATACAAAGCATATATATATATATATATATATATATAATATACATATATATGCTAATTTCTTCTATAAAATATATCCTGCCAAGGAAGTCAAGTTGAGCTGTAAACGTATGATAGCAGAACTTCCTTCTGTCTATGGGAGGGTGTGTCTACCTTGGAATCAGTTTGCACAGGCATAAATTCCTTACAATATAGTACCTTGACATACCCTACTGAATTCTTACATTTGGGTTTGGAATGATTTTGCTTGTTTCATTTAACTTCTACTTTCGATATTTTAAGATTGCTGGCTTCTGTGTTGTTCTTGCAGAGAAGCAAGAACAGTCCCCAAGAAATCATAAATTGCATTATTATAGATTTGTATCCAGAGTCAACTGATCTCTTTGTGGTTGTAATAATTGCTATGTGTTTAGGGCCACTTTGGAGCCTAGACGTTACTGAACCAGTTTCTACAGAATATTTAGGCACTGAAAACTTTGCCAATGTAAACTTTTTAATGGGAACTTGTATGGCACAGAAGTCACTGTCGCCTGCTTTTTGGTTGTCCTGACTGCTTTCATCAGTGCCATGAGTGGCAGACACTGCAGGCTGGATTTTCACTCCAGTCCAGCATTCTGCCACAGAAGCACGGCCCAGCGAAGTTTGGGTTAGAAGGGTGCCCTTTTGAGATTTTGGAAAGAATTGTGCAGTACGAAACCCACAGCTAAAACAGCAAGAAATGTCTGGTTCCAGGATTGAAAGAGAACATGGCTTTGTGCTTTAAATGTTGAACTTCCTCCAGGGAGGGAGAGCATAGAATTAGGTTTCATTATGGCATTTTTCAAACAAAATTTTTGCCACTGTTTCTTTTTGCCCGCTCCCCACTAGTCCTCTTCCCTTCCTGTGCCTTTTGACCCCTGTAGCCTCCTTTCTACCTTCCTGTTACATCTGACCTTTTGACCTTTCCCCCTTTTTCTCAATAGTTCTTGTTCCCCTCTTGTGGCCTCCTACCTAAGTTTCATAGTCTATAAGAGAGAACATGAGAATTTGGGGAGGGGTTGTAGTTGTTTTGGAGGCTTGTTTTGTTTTGGTTTTGTCTTTCTGAGTCCAGGACACTTACTTTAAAATGATCCTTTGTGGATCCATCCATTTTCTTGCAGATTCCATAATTTTATTTCTCCTAATGGTTAAGTAAAATTCCACTGGGTGTATGCACCACGTTCTCATTCTCCATCCTTCTGCTGATGGACTTCTGAGCTAGTTCCATTTCCTTTTTCTTGTGAATAATGCAGCAACAGACATGGATATGCAGATATCTCTGTAGCTGGATATAGAATCCTCTGGGTATATGCCTAGGAGTGACGCGGTGGTTCTATTCTATGGTATGGTATGGTATGGTGTGGTATTGCATGGTATGGTAGTTCATATAGTAGTTCTATTTTAATTCTTTTTAGACAGTGCCATACTGACTTCCATCATGGATATACTAGGTTTACACTCCCACCAATACTGAATATGGGGTCCTCCTTCTCCACATCCTTGCCAGCATTTATTGTCATCGTTTTCCCTTGATCATAGCCATTCTGACCGGAGTGGGATGGAATCCCAAAGTGGATTTAATTTCCATATTCAAGGGAAGACTTCTAAAGGAACATTTGAAGTCATTGATGGCGACGATGATGTAATTTGAACTTGAACTTAAGTGACTTAGTATTTCCCCAAGTGACTATGACGAGCCAGGTGACCACTTGTGGCTCTTCCTTCTTTCTGACTTGAGTCTGATGAGTCTGGTTAATGCGGTCTTCAGTAGAATGTTCAGTCTTCCTCCTCCATCAAGAAGAGCTGCTGGCTTTCCCCGTCAGCCCCCAGTGAACACATACTTACCAGGTGTCCTGACTTACAAGCACCACAGAGCAAACAATGGCTTTTGTAGTGGCCTCCTCACTCCCTCGCACCAGGGAAACCAGTACTGTGCAGGGGGTGAGAAAAATGCCTTGAGAAGAAGAACCAGGAAGGGTTTTCTGAAGGCACAGTGTCTCTAGATGGTCTCTACAATATGGGAACATTCACCAAAACAGAGAAACAAGAGGTTCGGGGGCAGGGGAAGAAAGTGTTGTAGATGGCAAGGACTAGGCTGTGTGGAGTGTGCACAGACGGCAGTGGCTGGAATCTCGCAGGTAGTTGGGGCTTCTTGGGAAGCATCACATAAGGTCTAGAAAAGGGAAAGTTAAGGTCAGCTCTTCATCACCAGGGGATGGTAGGAGTTTCTCTGTGCCTTCTTCCTACCTCTTGGGTGTGCAGAAACTGTCCAGCAGAGGCAGAAGAACAGCCCCAAGTCCTCAATCCAAGAGATTTCCTGGGTGAGGTTTGAACAGGAAGAGAGCTCTCTTGCCAGGAATGGGTGAGGTGAAGCTGAGATCAGGGAAAGGCTGTGGGTAGAGAACCTCTTGTCTACATTGTCTTCTAGGATTGTAAAGGGAATCTTCCATGATCAGCTCAGACCAGCCAATCTGGAGAGCTTTAGCTTGGGTGAAATTTAGGAGGTCATAGCTCACCTTCAAGAGAGTCTGCTAGTTCTCCACTGTATCTCTGCTGCAGCTGGCGAGCATCTCACTAGCCTCCCATCTAGACCTGCTCACTCCCATCCACGCTGCTCTCTATCCATTGAGAAACATGCTCCATTTGAGTTTTTAATTTCCATGTTTCTAACTCCAATAGACCTGCTTTGAAAGACACTCACTTTTCCGGGTGGCTGACATCTTTCTGTCATAGTTAATTAATTACTCTCAGATTTTAGCATCCACACTCTTTCCAACTGCTCTGGCCTCTGTCTTACCTTAAATCTTACTCTATGTTATTCAAAATGCATATTTCTCTTCTCATTCTGTGCTTTCTCCTGGTAATTCCATCCATCCTAGTAACAGCAGATGCTCTCTCTGGTATGCAGCCAGGTACATACACGTATCTGTGTGTGGCTCTGCTTGACTGTTGGAAAGGAATCTCAGGCTTAAGACTTCCACACTTAAGTTACTTTCTTTTTATCTCTTTTGATGATGTTGTTGTTGCTTAGTCTTTTGAGAATTATTGTGCCATGTAGCCCTACGTGGTCTGGTGCTCACGGTGAGGCCCAAGCTGGCCTGGAATCTATGGCAATCCTGCTATGACCTCCTGCACACTGAGGTTACAGGGCTGCACCGCACCCA